CATTTAACTCCTATTTGTCTAGGAGGTTAAGAACACTGGCTGGAGAAAAGATAGTTTCTTCAATAAATGGTGTTGGGAAAACTGATAATCACATGCAGAAAAATGAAATTAGACCCGTATCTTATACCACTCACAAAAAATAACTCAAAATGAATGAAAGCCTTAAACATAAGACCAGGTACCATAAGACACTTAGAAGAAAACATTGGGAAAAATCTCCTTGACATCAGTCTTGGTGATTATTTTTTGGATATGACACCAAAAATACAGGGAACAAAAGCAAAAATCTACAAGCAGGACTATATCAAACTAAAAAGTTTCTGCATGGCAAAAGAAACAATCAACAAAACAAGAAGAAAGCCTATGAAATGGGAGAAAATTGCAAACCGTATATTGAAGAAAAAAGCAAATATTTTAAATATATAATAACTTACTTTGGACTGAGAATCTTAGTGAATTAAATAGATTTCACCAGTTCAGAATTTTCAAAATGCATTTTTCTCTTAAGCAGAAAAATTTTCTTGGATAACTCAATACCTGTATTCTTTTGAGCAAGTTAGAGATCTGGAGTACTGTTTCTCATCATGATATTGAGTGGTAGTGTACAGTAGAAGAAACAATAGAGGATGAACTGGATAGCAAAAGGACAGTATCATTTTTTTTTTCAGGTTTCTGGGTCCATAAGAATTAAATAATGAATTCTGCTGACGAAATTTCAGGAAATGGAAGGGACACAAATAAATATAGAGAGACATGAAGCTATTCCAGAGCGAAAAGATAATTGAACAAGATGGTAATAATTTATTATATACAGCAGCAGCTATAGTACAAGGAACTACACTCCATCCTGCCTGTTAACCTAATTCGCCGGATGAGCTCCCCACCCCAACTCTCTAAGGAATGAAGTTGAGGTCCTCATTCTAATGTTATAAAAACAGTTCTAATGTATAAATTCTTTACTCTTTTGCATGTCAGACAACCCATTATGTGTCCATGTAAAAGGTGATATTGAATCATTATAATATTATCATGGATGAAAAATTTAATATTAAAATCCCAATTTTCCAGTTATGAAACTTCAGAGATGTTATATAACTTTATCAAAGTCTCATTACTGACATGTAGCAGAACATAGGTTCTAATTACAAGGCTTGTTTCTAAACCCAGGTTGTCTCATGACACCTTGAAGCCCTAGTTGCATCTCTAGAGATGAGAATGTATGTCCTGTCATAGAAAGTATGGTGCTGAGGATGGTGTTTGAAGTCTGGAGGATCATATTTGAATCCTGGATGACTTTAAGGTGCTTTTCTAATCATAGAATTTGGATGACTTCCCTCGTTCTCTGCCTGAAACTGGACCTTTTTTAGTTATAGGGACACCTCTGTAGATTTTCTTGTGTGGGAGTTCAAGTTCATCAAACTTCCAAAAGAAAGCAATTCTTGTTCTGGGTCTTTAAAATGGGTTTGTTTTCCTTATGGATCTTTGGAGGAAAGGCCAAGTTCAGTTTATCTCTCCTTTAGCTGTCTCATGGGTCTTACTTCATGATCTGGGAGGGGAAAAAAAAAAAGCTTTTTAGTATAAACTGTTGTGAGAACTACTAGAGGCTTTTCACAGCTTCTCCTTCTCCTTGATGGTGTTTTTAATAATAGCAGCATCTGCTATCTGAGAGATCCTTGAGACAGAGAGGATATAGTCCGTTATATAACAGGTGACACAGATTTCCGTTAGTGATTTAGTTAATAATGGATCTCTTCACACAAATCCTTTCACTTAATCTTTGGAACTATCTTGTATAGTTAGCACCATTGCTGCTTTTCAAATATTACTGATAAGGAAACTGAACTTCAGAGAAGTAATAATTTGACCTAGGTGGCTTAGGCAGGAAGTGGCAAGCTGGCACACGAGTCCAGATCGCCTGCTCCAGGGCCCAGGCTGTGTCCACTAATCCCTATCTGCCTGTCGACTAAATTGACCATCTTGAACATTACGTTTCATGGGTTCAATTTTAGTAGAAGCATTTATGGGTTCATGAATGAATCCCTTACATCTACCTAAAAGAATGTTCACAATGAATTTTACTTGTTTGAAAATCTTTCAGAACTAACCACATAGACCTTTCTTGGCTATAACTACCCATCTCTATCCTAGCCCAGGCATCAGAGCATCAGCCACCATAGCCGGCTTTCCTGAGTGCCACTGACTCCTGGTCTTTAATATTTTATCAGGGTTCAGGCTTAATCTGCACTGCTGCCAATGAAACTGAGGAGAAAACATAGTAAGTGAGAAAAAATAACATTCATTTACTCCTTCACTTTCAGTCTTTATTCTGTCATTTTCCAGGAGAGAAAGTATTTAGAGGACAAAGGGCATCCTGTAAAGGAAAGCCAACAAAGGAACTCTAGGTTTCAAGTGATTGTCTCTCCTACTGTTGCTTGCAGTGACGGCCTGTGACGTCTAAGTGAATTGTGGGGAGCACTTCGGAGCTCTTAATTGTTCCTTTGTATGTTCTGTATATTGCATATATCAAAAAGTGCCAATAGTTGAATTACTGAAACATCAATTTACCCTCAGGGTCCAGAGGCAGGGCTGGCAATATTATCGGTTTTATGATGAAAGATTGTCTCTCTGACACAGATTTCTTTTCCATCTTGCCAAAGATAAAATATAATTTTGGTAAAATGAGTCAGAGTAAATAAATAAGCAAATCAACTCATGAATGTATGAAAAATTAGATGAATGGATCTACAAATATGAAACTGTACATTTAGAGGGGATTAAAATTCATATGATTTAATGGAATTTTGTGGACACTTTTGAAAGTAGACAGATTAGATACAGTTGGACTGAAGACGTTTACTTTCTCTCCTTGAGCTTTCATATATCTATATATTTATGTCTTTGTACCTGTATAGATCTAAATATAAAGATATACACATATAGATATCTACTGTGTTGGATTGTTATTAGTACTGGAGATAAAGTATGCAAAATGTTCTAGCATTAGGAAGTAACATAGCATCTATTGTTAGACTGGATTTTCCTTTTCTGCTTCTAAGTACCATAGGCATTTTGAAACTGTCAGTCCTTATTTCTCCCTCTACAACATTACATTCTTGAGCAATTGCCTTTTTTTGGTTATTTTGTCAGAATTTGTCTATAATGGCATCAATATTTTTGGAGTTTGGGGGGTTAATTATTTGTGTAATATTATTATTTTTACCAAAATGAATTATGTCCTATTTTTGCTTTCAAAGTCAAAATCCAATAAATAACCTTCATTCAGATTTTTTTAGACTTTATAGAAAATGTGATTTTGCCTCAATTAAACACTGGAGATATGGGGAATTAATGGGAAGGCTCTAAGAAACAGTCTTAAGATGAATCAGGATGTTTGAGTACAGGTTAATTTTACACTACAAGAAATGTGTCTTTTTGTTTTTTTGTTTTTTTTTTTTTTTAGAGTTGGCACATACTTTAGAGATAATTATAACTAAACTCTCTTTTTTTGGTTTTTCTCCTTCTAATATATTGACACTGAAGTGTAAAGCAGTGAAGTTACCTACCCCACATCATATGGTTGCCAGTGCTTTTCTTTTTCAGCTAACTCATGACAACACCCATGATCCTATTTCTTAGTAGTGCTAATTAATAAGTGATTTCTTCCAGCGTGCGTATGTGCTCATCATTTTTGTCTATTAGATATGCCTTGCACCATTTCTTTATTTCCTAGATGTTGGTTTTCTCATTTACAAGATGGAGGAGATGAGGGAGGAAGGAAACCACATGATGTCTATATTGAGTTCTTTTTCAGCCTTGAGAATCGAGGAAGAGTAATAATGTTAATATGTGGTAAAGATTCTCAATTGGCAAAAGCTTTTCAAGACTTCCTGTTTCCTCTTTTGCTTTATTTGTGAGCATGTTCAGAATTAAATTTTCTGTCCAATTGCAGTAAATGTTTTAGCCTAGGTTATTATTACAAAATCTCTAGTGCATCCCAGAAAGTGCCTTGCAACTTCATATTTTTGATTGCTATTTCACATTAACAGCCCTACTACAGTATCGGTGGTTTTGCTGTACTTTTATTTTATTTATTTATTTATTTTCTTACTGATGATAAAATCGAGCCCCAGAAAAGTGAAATGACTTGTCCAAGCTTGTTGTTGGCAGAAATACGTTTTATGTATAGCTCTCTCAATCTCTAAGACTAACATTTGTATTCTCTCGCCTTGCTTTCCATTCTTACCTGTAGTAGGCGAAACATGTTCTCTCTCCTTGACTTAAGGTCTTCATCTCTAAATGTTCTATTGCAAGCCTCCACAAATATATTTGGCAAATAGAGGTAACATGGAGAATAAATAATAAAGAAGTGCAATTAAGTGCCTTACAGTACAGTATGGATCGCACAAGCCCATTCGTGTTAATGGTGTGTATTTTACACATACTTTCTGTGTGTGGGTCTTATTTTTCACATGGAAGTCAAGATTCTCTGAGAGAATCAATACTAGTGTTTCTCTTGTGAAGGAGGGTGTGTCAGTAGCCAGAAGCTTTGGAGAATAGCCATCCTGGGTTCCGATTCTTGCTTAGTCACTTGCTACTGTAGAATCCTGGATAAGCTGCCTAATTCTCCTCACTTACATTTCCCTTGTTTCTGACATCACAGTATTAACTCCCTTTCGATTTAGGTAATATTGATTTTAATGAGACATTGTATTTAATGGACATTAAATACAACCTGTCAAGTAAGGGCTCTACACATTTAGCTCTTAAGATTATTAACCTTCATGCTAACTCTGGATAGAGCTCTATGAGAAACAAAAATTCTCTAGTCAAACTCTTCACATGAATAGAGTACTCAGGTGATGATTAATAGTTATGTGTTGAGTCACCCATCACACTGCTTTCACAAACTTTTGTTTGCTTCAATTTCATGGAGGTCTATAAGTGTGATTATTTTCTGTCCTTCCTTCTAACATTTTCCTTGGGTTGTGTTTTCTGGGCAGAAGACAAGATCTGGACATCAGTGCAGCACAACAACACAGAGCTGACCCGTGTGCGAGGTGCCAGCCCTGAGAAGCCCTACTCCATGGCCTTGGACTATGGGGGCAGCATGGAGCAGCTGGAGGCCGTGATTGACAACTCAGAGCACTGTGAGCAGGAGGTAGCCTACCACTGCAGGAGATCCCGCCTGCTCAACACACCAGGTAAGGCTCACCCCTGCCTCTACCTCTCTGCATGAGCCACACACGGTGACCACAGAATGACAAATAGACCTACAAGCCCGGAATATCAAGGAGATGGATATGTGCAAACAAAGGGCCTGCCATTACAGTTGTTCACTGAACGATGGAGAGAAACACTGCCAGGGAGGACTGGTGATGCACTAGTCCTAGCTCTGACACCCAAGGTATGACCCAGAGGAAGTTCCATACCTCCTAAGGCTTTCTCCTTATCTTCAAAAAGGGAGTAATGACAATACTCATTCTGCAACAGTTTTAAGAATGGAAAGTTCTTTGAGAGCAATGGCACTTGAAGAGAACATTTGAGATAGACATAAAAAATGTGGAGGTCAGGCATTTCTGGCAGAAGGAATAGCATATGAGAAAGCAGCAAGGACCTCTTCACATTTGCCAATAACCTATGAGTTATATCCAGAGGAAAAGGTATAGGAAGCATTATTAGGCAATGAGGCCAGCCGGGCAGGCAGGAACAGTTCTGTGTGTTTGCAGTACTTATTAATCTGAAAAGTAGAGGCATTAATAAAAACTTATTCTTTTAAATAAAGTTTCCTTTTAGAAAAAATTAGATTAATCCTATTTTTTTTTATTCTTTTCTTAAGGCTATTTTTAAGTGAATGGTTGTTTTAGTTATAACAATATTAGTTCGTCATTTATTTCATGATAGAAAAGAAAGCTGTACACCACGAGAATATGGGATGTCTCAGAATCTTTAGTTTCAAGAAACTCAAAATCCAGTGCTTGGAGGTTAGGAATTGTGAAAGCCTTGAGAAAACTAGACAATGAAATGTCAAAAAGAAGAAGGGATAGAAGCCTCACTAAATATAACATACTGCCTCATTGATCTAGAATCTTTAGGGAAGACATTGTTCCACGTCAGTAAATTTTCCAAATAACTGTCACTTACCCCTTTAAGCACAAAAAAATCTTTTGAAAGAATTTTTAACTATTTGAAATGAAAATCTTTCTCAAATGGATTACATGCTTCCTTGCCTTTTTAAACAGATAATTCTGAACATAAAATGTAACCTTTCCTTGATGACTCAGGATCATCATTGTGAAAATCAATTATTGTACTCTTACTGGATCCAGCCATGCTCGCAGGGCTGATTAAATCTGAGGTACTGGTTTGGGGTCTCTTTTCCCAGCGTCTTCAAATGGTGCTGCCTTAAGAGATGCTATATTTATATTTGTTCGTGTTTTTTTCTCTCCTGGCTATCAAGCCTGTACATGTCACTTTCAGCACTATTTGCACAATGCCTGTGTCTAAAAAACCAAACTATCTTCTTTTCATTGTGTTGTTTTAGTTTTCTAAGGATTGGATTTGATGGGATTTTAGGAAAAATAAGAGTATGTTCATTCTGACTATGAACTTTCCTTTAGTTTATGCATTCTGTGATGTTAATTTGACTACATCATTGCCTTTGTATGTGTGTGGTTTTTTTTTTCCTAATATAACTGTCTTTAATTTCATAGAGATATTTGAATGGAAAGGGCATAGATTTGAGAGCAGGCCATATTGAAAGTGAGGTCTTGACTCTTTTTTGCCTCTTACTAGTTATGTGACATTGTACAAGTTGCTAAATTTCCACAATTTTACCACCTGAAAAATTTTCATGAAAATCTTGAACAAATAAAGTTAATGTAGTCTGTGTTCCTTATATCATGCCTGGTATACAGTAGATGTCCAACAAATACTAGTGTCATATTTCTTTCCTTGATCACAGCTTCCATCTCTGCAGGAAAAGTCCAAAACTTGTACTATAGCAGGAAACAAACTCAAGGAGCATATTATTTCTATTTTAACAATGTAAATAGAAAATTATAATAATAACTCATGCATGCAGATAATCTTACCACTCAGAGAAGATGAATGGTTCATTGAGGTGTGTACCTTTCCAGACATTTTTTAATGTGTATATTCACGAAAGCACGTGAGAACATACCATATGCATATTGAGGTTTGCGAGGACAATTCATCCTTGTTTCCCCCATGGTTCTTAATCAGATGAGTTAAATGAAGGAGGACAATGGGCACGTACATACTGTGCCTGTTTTATTCTGGCGAACTGGCTTGGAAAACACAGTGTGGACCAGAGGCCAAGGGCATGTCCTTGACCCTCAGCCTCTACCTGCAGTGGTTGTGGCACTGTGTGGGTGAGGTGGAGCTGCAGACACACAGCTGCACAAAGTCATGACCCCAGCCTCATACCCATCAGTGCAAGAACAGAGTCCCTAAATCCCAATTCAGCTGTGCTCACTTCATGGAGATGGGTGGAGACAGTAGTCTGCAACATAGCAGTCACATGAATCCCAGAAGCAGGCATGGCCCAGGGCACTGTCTTAGTTGTGGCTCCTATAACAAAATGGCAGAGACTGTCTGGTCATAAAAAACTGCAATTTCTCACAGTTCTACAGAAGTCTACTATCAGGGTGCCAGCATGGCTGAGTTCTGGTCAAGCACCTCTTCTTACACACAGCCACTTTTCCTCACATCGTCACATGACGGAAGAGAGTAAGAGAACATTCATTAATTCCATTCGTGAGGGCTCTATCTTTATGACCTAATCACCTCCAAAAGACCTTATCTCCTAATACTATCACACTGAGGGTTAGGATTTCAACCCTGTGAATAAATTTTGGAGGGACACAAACTTTGAGTTTATAACAGGCACACACCTGAAGGGGTGTTTTCCTAATCTCCCTAATTATTAAGGCAACCACTTCTCCACAGGGAAGGCCAGGCAGAGAAGTGGAGGTGGGTAGAGATCATCTTCCCCTTACCTAAATGCCAGTCTGGAAGAGCCAAGTAAGTGTCTCCCTAATTTGCTGAAGTGAGCCCCCTTGTGATACTGTTTTACTCCCTGTATTTGTCACACACATAATGTACAAATATCTTTCCATATCAATACATATGACTTTATGCCAACTGTTCATTAACAACAGTTCATTAACATCCATTTTATGGATGTACCATAATGGATATGCAAAGTTAATAAATATTCTGTTTTGGAAAATTGATTATTCCCATTTTTTCATCATTACAAATGCCACAGGAACACTTTTGTTTATAGGTTTTTATAAACAAAACATATATTCTTAGGATAAATTCCTTTGGGGTGCTATTGCCAGGGCAAAGAGTATGTATATTTTTTAAGTTTTTGCAAAATTGACTTGTACAATGTATCAAGGTTTTACTATTTATACTCCCAATGATAACGTGGGATTCCATGCCCATTTCCCAGTGATAAGTATTATCATTTTATTTCAACTTTGGCAATCTATTAAATGCAGAGGAGGATCAAAGACAATTATATATATTTTTGTTAATTAAAAAAATGTGTAGGCTGATTCCTATAGCTTATTGGAGGGAGATACTACTGGTAGCCAGGGTTAGTAGAAGCTATAAAATATTATAGATTGTGTCTGTAGTGGACGAAAATCAATGAGAAGAGAATGTAGTAGATGCCTTCTTTTTATAGGTGTTCCTCCATATTATACATAATAGATAATGAAGGGCAGAAATAAAAGAAGGCAGGATGAGAGAAAAATAACTGTTACTTATGCTTTAGGATATGTGTGGGGTTCTGTGTGAGCATTACCTCTAATCCAAACAACAGTTCTGCAGAGTAAGGGTTATTATCCCCATCTGGCATTTTGGGAAACAGAACCTCAAAGAGAGTAAAATGCTTAATTAAGACACAACTTGGGAGGGGCAGATTTGGTTCTTAAACCCAGCTTTACCTGAAATCAAAGCAAAGATGCTGTTTCTGATATACCTTAGAGTCAAAAGTTGAAAGGAAATGGACTTAGAGAAAATATGAGTTTATATGATTTTTCCTTATTTTGTAAGAATATGTAGATAAGAGAGAGATGAGAAGCCAGAGCCACCACTGCTAAGGTCATGTGGTTGTCTGGGTGGTTTGAATTGATGAAATTCCTGGGCAGCTACAAAGGATTTTCAGTGCCTTTGCCTAGATGCAGCATCTGCCGTGGCTCGCACCCCTTCACATGGTGGCCCTGTGGATTCCTATAACTGTCTCCTGAGGTTCATTCTGTCTGTTCTTGGCTCCAGCTTTGGTGCCATTTTTCCAGTAGCAGTACAGGGACTTGGAGATGGGAGACAGGCAGGAAAAGGTGTGGCCTTGTTCACCACTGTATCTTTTTCATTCAGTTAGTGATTTAAACAAGACATTGTCATTTTTTGACAGTTTCCTCTGATAGTCTTCCTGTGACCTGCTGCTAAGTGACAGCCAATAGAATGTTCCATCTATCTCTTTAACTAAAACTTCATACTAGAAATTCTCAGAAGGGCCAGAATTCCAAGCCATCAGAGTTCCTTGGAAAGGTTTTTTGCTACCCCTATGCATCTTGTAGTTGTCCTTAACTATGCTGGCTACTTCCTATCCTGAGTTTTATGCAAAGTCTGTGGCCTTGTGCTTCAGTGCAGCTTGTATGACAGCTATGTTGAGCCCCCAGTGCTTAGAGGCACCCTGTCATCAGGGGAGCAGGTGACCTCTTGTCCTCAAGGACAAGGGCTGTCCTCGAGCCCAGGCCTTTCCTCACTGTTAGCACTTCCATAGGAATTTTGCCTGAGGCAAAGTTCCTGAAGGTAACAGGTTATGAACATATTAGATAAAACAGAACCCAAATCAGGAAACACTAACATAGAAGACAGAGGAACAAAGATTGTGGCCACAGTCTGGAAGATGCTTTAGTAACATGGCCAATTTGCTTTATAATACGACAAGATTGAAAGGGGATAGGAAGCTGATTGCCTGAGGAAGACTCGAGCCCAAGTCCCTGCTGGGAGTGGATTTGAAGTCCTGCCTACTCCAAATTCTCTCCAATATCTCCCTAGCCCCTGGAATCCCTTCATAGTATTTACTTGTTGAGTGTAGGTATCAAGGGTATGCATCTTTTTGCACTCGCCACCTTGCGTAGTGGAAGTCTGCTTGGGAACATCT